GCCAGGGCAAAGAAAATGGTTCATGGATGTGTATTCCAGTATGACAATGACCCAAAACACACAGCCAAGGCAACAAAGAAGTGGCTCAAGAAGAAGCACATTAAGTTCCTGGAGTGTCCTAGCCAGTCTCCAGACCTTAATCCCATAGAAAATCTGTGGAGGGAGCTGAAGGTTCGAGTTGCCAAACGTCAGCCTTAAAATCTTAATGACTAGGAGAGGATCTGCAAAGTTGAATTGGACAAAATCCCTCCTGAGATGTGTGCAAACCTAGTGGCCAACTACACAAATGTATGACCTCTGTGATTGCCAACAAGGATTTTGCCAAGTCGAAGGAGTCAAATACTTATTTCACTCACTGACATACAAATCAATTTATAACTTTTTTGACATGTGTTTTTCAGGATTTATTTTTTTTGTCATTCTGTCATTCACTGTTAAAATACACCTACAACACCGGCGGAGCAAGATGGACGTGTAATTCTTAGCTCCTGCACATGGGCTCCGATAAAGGCGTTTCAACACCCATAATAGAAGACCCTGACAAAACGAAAACTACTATGTCACAACTAAAACAGAAACGGCAAGCCTCTAAAACCGAAAAGCAAAACTTTTTTGGTCAAAATGCGGTGCCGAGTAAACACATGAGCCAGCAGCACCAACAAGATGGCGGAGAAGAAACTCACGACGGCAACCTCTCCACCGACCCTGCTGAACAGGCTATGGAGGAGCCGGTCACCAAGCAATTCCTTTTAGAACAGCTGGGCATATTCTCAAGCAAAATGATGGCTGGCTGGGAAGCAGGATTATCGAGTCTGAAAAAAGATATAGCGGAGCTGGGAACGAGAACCTCCCACGTGGAGGAGAGATTGGAGGAGACACAAGAGGCACATAACCACCTAACAGACCAGGTGAACACACTTCAAGCCACTGTATCCACAATGGAGAACAAACTCATGGATATGGAAGATAGGGCGAGGAGGAATAACTTAAGATTGCGGGGCATACCAGAAACGGTGGCCCCTGCGGACCTCCAGGCTTATGTGCATGAATTCTTCCACACGCTCTCGCCAGACACACCGTCAGACATGCTCCTCTTAGATAGAGTACACAGGATACCCAAACCTTCACACCTACCACCCTCGGTCCCCAGGGATGTCATCCTATGCGCCCATTATCACCACATCAAAGAAATAATATTACGACAGAGCAGAACCAACAAGGAGGTACCTAGCAAATATGCTGGCATAAAGATATTCACGGACTTATCCGCGGCGACGCTGAGAAAGAGGAAAGCCTTCCAACCCATCACCACCATCCTCAGACAGCAACAAATAGCCTACCGGTGGGGTTACCCCCTCAAGCTTCTCATCTCTAAAGGAGGCGCGACGAAGATACTGACATCGCCAGAGGACGGAGAAAAGTTTCTTCAAGAATGGAACCTACCAACGCCAAGCAAACCGACAAGGGAAACCGCCGCGCTGCATCGTGAATGGCGGAAAGCATAATATAATAGACTTATACCAGCCAATTTGGACTGCCAATAAGATATTGCAAGTAGAGGCTGGTAATGTATATAATGAACCCAATGTTTATGTTATGTTATTTTTGTTAATTCTGTGACACCTCAATCCGCACAACTTACATACACAGATAACGCTTACAAGCACGCCAAAACACACCTGAACCCCGAAATGCCAAAAGCAGACCACATCTGGCTTAGATTTATCCCTATCTAATTATACACGCACACCCGTTAACCCACATCCAAAACAACAGGGTTATGGTTAACCTACTGACCCTAACGGGCTGGAAATGACACGCAACTAATATGCAGACGCAAAACTGGCCACACTGGAATCAGAAAGACTATCTAGGACTATCACTGCAGAATATTGTTACTAAAGCACCAAACCCACAATCAGATGTCGGCTAGAAGAACATTTGCATACTACAAGAGCATACTAGATTTAAAAAAAAAAAAAGAGGGGATACGAGTTTGGCAAATATTTCGGGGAATATGATAAATTTACCCAATGAAGGAGCCCAGGTAGCCTCCTTCGTGAGCAGAAAGTACATGCTCACCACACCCCAGGTACTACCAAGAAGTACCGAGCCCTACATCTGGGCATTGCTGTATATAGTTGAGCTCTTTACGAGACTCAGGTTTCTACCCCTTCAACCCTTACCCCAAGTTGCAAACCATGAGAAGATTCTCAAACCCACTAAACCCAAAACTAGGCATATTAAACCAATAGCCTACACACTGCCCATCAACAGGCACATATCACGAACAGCATACCGAGGCAAAATCTCACCAAACCTTACACTATACTACCCAACGACTGACGAAGAACTCAAATCTACCCAACCCCATAATGAAAATATATTCACATAACGTTAGGGGTCTAAATTCCCCCCAAAAACGCCAAACACTGCGCACAGAATTAAAAAACCACAACGCAGATGTGATCTGTCTACAAGAAACCCACTTCAAAAGGCAGACATCTCCATCCATGGACCTTAAACAATTTCCAAACCAATACCACTCTACATACAGCCACAAATCTAGGGGAGTCAGTATTCTAATACACAAATCAGTTGCGTTCGAACCTCTTAAAATAGTTAAAGACACCAATGGGAGATACCTCATACTAGTATGTAACCTTAATGATGTCACATACACCATAGTCAACATCTACGCACCAAACGACAATCAAGGGCACTTCCTACAAAAAATACTGACTAAAGTGAGCAACATACAACAAGGCATATTGATATACTGTGGGGACCTAAACCATACCCTAGACCCAGAAATGGACACCACACTAGATGCAAATAAACCCAGATTGACATCACTCAGATCAGCCTGCAACAAACTTAATCAACTGCTCATTCAATTTAATTTATACGATGTATGGCGCACGCTACACCCAGGAGATAAGGACTACACCTACTATTCTCAAGTGCATAAAACTCACTCTAGGATAGATCATTTTTTCGTGACTAGCACAGGTTTACCACACACACATCAATGCATACACGGCGACATAACATGGTCGGACCATGCCCCAGTGATACTGACACTCACTGACGCATTCCCGTACAAAGGCAAAGGCTCGTGGAGGCTAAACAACTCACTGCTCCACGATCGAGACTTCATTCTTACACTAGAACAAGAACTTAAACACTATTTCACTACTAACGAGAACCCCCAGATCACAGCCCCGACCCTGTGGCAAGCACATAAATCAGTCATGCGAGGACTGATGATCCGCAGAGCATCCTACCTTAATAAGCAAAGGCGAACAACCCTTATGAAACTGCTCATACAATTGAGAGATATAACCCAAACATATTACCAATCAAAACAACAGGATCTCCTACCGGAAATCCAAACCATCACTGCTAAAATTAAGGAACACCAATTCCAAAAAACGGCATACATCCTGAAAAAATTTAAGATGACTCACTATGCGAAAGGGAACAAAGCTAGTAAACTATTGGCCAACATGTTACGCAAAAAACAATCCAATGCTAAGATCCCATACATTCTCACAAAGGGCAACCAAAAACTATGGAACCCGCAAGACATGAATAAAGAACTAGTGACCTTCTATAACACCCTCTATAATTTGAAGGAAGATAATACTCTATACCAACCAACTGTCACAGAAATTGAGGGATACCTCCAACAGATACCATTGCCAACACTGACAGACGAACAAAAACATAAATTGTCAGAACAAATCTCGATACCCGAACTGACAGACGCCATAACCAAACTACCCACGGGGAAATCTCCGGGCCCAGACGGATTCACGAATCAATATTACAAAACTTTTGCCCCAATACTAGTTCCCCACATAAGACAAACCTTCCAATCCATAATAAACACAGGGACAATCCCACAGGAAATGCTCACAGCCCATGTGGCCACACTGCCTAAACCGGGGAAGACACCAGACAGAGGACAGAACTTGCGCCCCATTTCACTTCTTAACACGGATATTAAATTACTGGCGAAAATATTTTCAAATAGATTAGCCGCTATGCTCCCAGACCTAATCCATGAAGACCAAGTAGGCTTCATAAAAGGAAGGCAAGGCACGGACGGTACTAGGAAAGTTTTAGACATACTATATAGTACACATAAACGGAAAACGGGGTGCCTATTCATGTCGCTTGATGCCGAAAAGGCTTTTGATAGGCTGAACTGGGACTTTCTTAGAGCAACCTTAGCGAAATTTGGATTCCCATTAGAGTTTATGAACACTATACGGGCTCTCTATAGTAACCCCACTGCCAGACTCACTAACGCAGGGTTCCTCTCAGATCCGTTTGCAATTACGAATGGGACCAGACAGGGATGTCCCCTATCACCCCTGCTATATGTCTTAGCGTTGGAACCTCTCACAACCCTCATTAGACAACAACCATCAATCCTAGGCGTCAAAACAAAAAGCAAAGAACATAAACTCACATTATTCGCAGACGATATACTACTGACGATACAAGATCCAGAAGCCTCCCTACCACACTTCCACTCCATACTAGAAAAATATAGTGAAATGTCCTATTACAAACTGAATATTTCTAAAACGCAAGTACTTTGCAAAGGACTCCCCCCAGACATCACTCATAAATTAAAAAACACCTACTCATACGACTGGAGAAATGACTACATCACATTTCTAGGAATACGTTTTACAAAATCGCACACTGCACTATTCAATGCCAATTACGGCAAACTCAGTATAGAAATAAAAAAACAACTACAAGAATGGAAAACATCATTCATATCCTGGTCGGGTCGCATGGTAGCGATCAAGATGATAATTCTCCCCAAGTTGTTATACCTATTCAGATCACTAATGATTCATATACCCGCTACGTATTTTGCCACAATCCAACGCTGGATAATTAGATTTGTATGGAATGACAAAAGGGCACGTATAGCCCTAAAAGTATTGCAATTACCGCTCAAAGAAGGGGGTATGAATATGCCAAACCTGAAACAATACTATCACGCAACTATACTAAGCAGTATCATCCAAGCACGGCCAAGTACACGAGCACCTCAATGGAAACACTTAGAAGCAGAATGGGCTGATAACGCTAGCACTGACAATTTAGTGTGGATACCAAAACTTAACCGACCGCAACCGCAAGACTGCCTACCAACCACAACATTGTCACTAAAAATATGGGATGAAGCCCGCCCCACCCTAACAAACAACTCAACAATCTCTAAAGCCATGCCACTTAAGTCACTAGCGCTCATTATCCCGGATTTTAACTATAGAATATGGGAAAGACATGGCATACAATTCCTACATCAGATAATCACCAACACGGGCCTAACGACCTTTGCCTCACTACAAGACTCCCATAAGCTACCGATAGTAGCGCACTACTCATATCGCCAATTAGATTCATGGCTACGCATACAACTTCGAGAGAACACAATCAATACACAGACACAAAAGATGACAGCATTCGAGGAAATGTATACCAACCCCACACCACCCCAGAAACTCATATCCTCCATATACGCAACACTACCCACAAAACACAAACTGCATGAACACAAATTTATCAAAGCATGGGAAACAGAGACCCACAAAAACTTTACTGAACAAGAATGGGAATATATGATCCTCACTCCCAAAAACTTTTCTTTATGTTCAAGACATATAGAGTTAGCCAAAAAACTATTATATAGGTGGTATCTCACGCCCATACGACTACACAAATACAACCAATCACTTCCGACACAATGCTGGAGGTGCAAATCAGGCACAGGGACCATGGCACACATATGGTGGACCTGCCCCAGCCTACAACAATACTGGAAAGACATATCCAAACTCATTACAAATAGCACGGGATGCTCCCTGCCTCATGATTTAGAACATTACGTGCTTTTTAATATTCCTAAAGCGCTACCTAAGACAGATAGGTATCTAATCTTCCATATAAATATAGCAGCATTGGGAGCCCTAGCACAAAACTGGCTATCACAGACTGTACCCTCTATCTCCATGTGCATGCAGCAAATTAGCCAGGCAGGCCATTTCGAAACCATAATGAGACGGCAAAACACGCCCCCCAACAAACCACATAAACAGCGTCGGAGGTACTGGGAAATAGCATGGGATAAATGGGAAAAATACAAAGGTGGTACAACAGAGAACCCACAAACGTGGGCTGGCCCACGACAGACCTAAACCTATAGAATACCCATCAAAGATTAGAATACCCAGCAAAGATTATCTCACCACACAAGAAAGACAGACTAACTGACCACAAGGAGTATGACCACTCCAAACAAAGCTAGAGGTAAAAAGGCAAACCTACTTAGGTACTAACCTCAGGCGACTCCGAGAAAACATCAGAGCTTCCATGGGGAAGCATGTCAAACACCACTATAGAGACATAAAGCTGGGCTCTGGCTCTCAAATCTATCTCAAAGGGTAAGGGAAAGGCATATCCACCGGGGGCCACTGTAAGATTGTCAACTGTCTGGTAATGCTTAATAACTATTGTATGTTACTTCACAATTGTGCCTAAAGACACTGTCTGTAATTACTACCTTGCACAACTTATCTATGGAATTGCAACCTCCTTTCCCCCCCCTGCCCCTCCCTTTCTTTTTTCTGTACCCTCTACATTCCAAGAAATGACAAAACAATAAAAATTGTCAAATTTGAAAAAAAAAAAAAAATACACCTACAACCTTCAGGACTCCATTAGATTTTTGTGACAGGAGTTAGTTTAGGGATTGCTGTTTAGTCTGTTTTAGTAAAAAAAAAAAGAAAAAAGAAGTATAAAAAATAATTTGTGTGTTTGGAATTTGTTTTAGTCGTGTGTAAAACATGCAGCGTATGTATAACTTTCAGGAGACATATGCCTTCTTGGCGTCAGACTTTGACGCCACTGACACTGCGTCAGATTTTGACCCAGGTCAGTTTTCTGACACGTCTAGTCAAGATGACATGTCATCTGTTTGTGAGCCGGCTGAAGAAAGAAGCTGTGCTTCCTCTGCTACGCCGAATGTGGAGAAGGACTGGGTACCTCCACAGTTAGCCAAGCCCAACGTCCCCCCTTTTAGTGCCAATGCAGGCATTAATGTTAATGTGGATGGCTTCTCCCCAATGCAGTATGTAGAACTATTTTTAGGGGATACCATCTGGGAGGAGATTGCTTCCCAGACTAATTTGTATGCTACCCAATTTATTGATAACAATCCAGGTAGCTATACAGTCAGGGAGCATGACTGGCATCCCACAGATGTCCCAGAGCTTAAAAAATCCTGGGCTCTTACAATGCTGAAGGGGATTATAAAGAAACCATCGATTCGCTCATACTGGATCACCAACCCAATAATGTCTAGTCCAGTATTTTCCCAAACCATGCCTAGAGCCAGATACGAGTTACTGCTGAGATTTTTACATTTCAGTCACAATACCCTCTGTCACTCTAGAGATCACCCCCAATACGATAGACTTCATAAAATACGCCCACTGCTAGACCATTTTCAGGACAGATTTTTGGATGTTTATACCCCCAACAAAATTTATCCATAGATAAATCTCTAATGAAATACAAAGGGAGATTAGGGTTCAGACAATACATGCCCTCAAAACGCTCTAGGTGTGGCATAAAACTGTACAAACTGTGCGAGAGCGAAAGTGGATACACGTTTGCCTTTCGTGTATATGAGGGGAAAGATGGTCAACTGGACCCTCCTGGCTGTCCTGACTCCTTGGGGACAAGTGGGAAATTTGTATGGGACCTACTAAACCCCACCTTTATGTGGATAATTTTTATAGTAGTGTCCATCTGTTTAAAACACTTTATGGTTTACAGACACTGGCCTGCGGCACTGCCAGAAAAAATTCCAAAGACTTTCCACGATCTCGCATAGAGGCAAAATTTAAAAAAGGCTAATGTAAAGCACTTCGCAAAGCTGAAGTGCTTGCACTAAAATTTAGGGACAGGAAGGATGTCAACATGCTAACCACCATCCATGACGAACGCATGTCAGACGTCTCTGTACGGGGCAGAGTAGAGTCCAAACTGGTTTGCATCAGGGCGTATAATAGGTACATGGGGGGGGTGTTGATTTGGCTGATCAGCTGATGTAGCCATATCTTATTTTACGAAAAACCAAAGCATGATATAAAAAGGTGGCTATCTATCTGATTGCTTTTTAAAAAAAATAATCCAGGGAAAACAACCTTTCTCCAATTTCAGTTGCAAATTATTTCTTTAACAATTTATGGAGATGGACAAGTTCCAACAATGGTGCAAGCTGAGTCCAGACATTTTATTTTTAAGTTACCGCCAACTACTAGAACCCCCCCGCCCCCCAGAAACGTTGCCGGGTCTGTTTTAAAAATGGGAAAAGGACAGACACCCCTTTTCACTGTCCTGATTGCCCTTCGAAACCAGGACTGTGTGTAGGAACATGTTTCAAGCTGTACCACACAGAACAGTTGTAAGAAGTGTTCCTGAATTTTTATTTTATTTTTTGTTTCTTTGGAAAGCAGCCATTTTTTGTTAATCAGTTTCCTTCCCCCAAATCTCCAGTTAGGTTCTATTTGCAGGAGTCCGTTTAAAGATTGCTGCTAAATGTACATTTGCTACCTGCACATTTGGTCTAACACGTTTTGGTAGTGACACCTAACAGAATCTGTGAATTTATACCTGAATTGCAATGTATGTGAACAAAATAAAAAAAATAAACTACCTATGCAAAGTTTGGCAAAGGTTTGTGGTAAAATGGCTGCATAGAAAGTATCAAAATATTCTTAGATGAATACCCTGGGTTATCTAGTTTAAGAAAAATATATACATGTGGGGTATTTTTTGGAGATTTATGACATAACAGTGTTACAATGTCACTATTGATACATTTGAAAAATGTACATTTTGAAACAGCAATTTCCTACTTGTACTTATAGCCCTATAACTTGCAAATAAAAGCAAAAAAACACATACACATTGGGTGTTTTTAAACTCAGGACAACATTTGGAATCTATTTAACAGTTTGTTTCATTCGATTTTGTAGATCAGTAAAAGATTTTTTAAGTAAAAGTAAAAAAACTTGTTTTTATTTTTCACCATATTTTATTATTATTTTTTTAATTAAATTATATGACATGATAAAAATAATAGTATGTAAAGAAAGCCCTTTTTGTCCTGAAAAAAAACCCAATATATAATTTGTATCGGAACAGTAAATGAGAGAGCGGAAAATTAAAGCTAAACACAAACACCACAAAAGTGTTAAAATAGCTCTGGTCCTTAATGTACAAACATCGCAAAAACAGTCCGGTCCTGAAGGGGTTAAAATTATAGACTGATCATTTCTTTGTCAGTGGACAAACATTCAAAATCAGCAGGGGATCAAATACTTTTTCCCCTCAATGTACATAAGTAGTACAGTACCAGTCTCCTGCTTTATCACAAAATCTCCAGAATACCTTGATTCTCAGGGATTCACTTAGAGATTAAATACCTCTTGCATATGTTGACATACACATCGTAACTGAATTGCTTGCTTACAACTGTTTAGCAAATAAATAGCATTGTCAACATAGCCACTATGTGGACTGTATTTTACCTGTTCCGATAGCTGGTAATGCAATGTTTTTAAATGACTTTATTTTACATTCTTTGAGTATTTTTTCAAGTGATGAAGCAAATGCAGTGACCCACACTGGACCAATCACATTGTTGGAGCTTGTTCATCCAAGTAGAGTCTTATTCAATGGATCCATGGATCAATGCAATTCGAGTCACTTTCTTTTCCCCCTTTAACCTGACCCATCCATCTTGGTATTTTGAACTATTATTATTGTTGCAATTTCTATAGTATCAGCATATTCTGTAGCGCTTTACAATTTTAACATGGGTTATATTGACAACGCACATGACAGCAAATAATTTACATACAGAATATAAAAGAGACAAGAAGTGAAAAAGGCCCTGCTTAAACAAGCTTACGATCTTACAAAAGTTCTAGACAATTCATATTTTTGTGAATAATTCTGTTCATTAACAGTTAGAGTAAGACCAATGCCAGAGTTAAAGTTGCGCTCCAAGAACTTTGACATTCTCAAACAATGAGCTAACACCGCATGGCAGGGTTTAGCCGAGGAGAGCTATTGGAAGCTCCTAACAAAAGCCTTGACTCCCAAAGAAGTAGGCGATTGGTGCCTGGCGGATCCCAGCTCAGATGACCATTAACAAACAGTTTGACTGCTTACACTGGGAGAAGAATAAGCAAAACAGTGCACTGCAGTGGCTGCGATGCTTGGAATGGTTTTTCAAGAGTTGGACATTTGGGAATTCTTTTTCATATCTAACATTGCTCCAAAACACATACGGAAATATCATAGACGGCTTTTTTTATGGTCTAAATCTTGCATGCCTGTTTCTCTTATAACATTTAAAAAATGTGAACAATTAGATAAAACAATTATGACTTTATTTTTTCTACTCTATTTTACAAAATTTTAAATGGCCTGTTTCAAAAACAGCAATGTCATGATTTGGTAAAGTTTTGCTGATCAATAACTGAGTTGGAAAAACATTTTAGTTGTCCATATACCAGTCACTATTGCCAGTTTTCTTTTCCTGTCCTGTGTATTTACTTTAATACTGCATTCTGCCTAAATACAACTAAACATTGATTCTACAGGGAGTGCAGAATTATTAGGCAAATGAGTATTTTGACCACATCATCCTCTTTATGCATGTTGTCTTACTCCAAGCTGTATAGGCTCGAAAGCCTACTACCAATTAAGCATATTAGGTGATGTGCATCTCTGTAATGAGAAGGGGTGTGGTCTAATGACATCAACACCCTATATCAGGTGTGCATAATTATTAGGCAACTTCCTTTCCTTTGGAAAAATGGGTCAAAAGAAGGACTTGACAGGCTCAGAAAAGTCAAAAATAGTGAGATATCTTGCAGAGGGATGCAGCACTCTTAAAATTGCAAAGCTTCTGAAGCGTGATCATCGAACAATCAAGCGTTTCATTCAAAATAGTCAACAGGGTCGCAAGAAGCGTGTGGAAAAACCAAGGCGCAAAATAACTGCCCATGAACTGAGAAAAGTCAAGCGTGCAGCTGCCACGATGCCACTTGCCACCAGTTTGGCCATATTTCAGAGCTGCAACATCACTGGAGTGCCCAAAAGCACAAGGTGTGCAATA